AATAAGATGCCGTCAATATATACAAAATAATAAGTAAAAGTTTCATAATATCGCATTGTTTTGGAACGAGTGAAATTCTTTGTTTCAAGATGTTTTAGACTTTTTCTCGCATACATTGTATCATACAATTTCTACGACAATCATGACCAAAAACTAGATACTGGAAAAACTTTGCCAAAAAGAAAAAATCTTCTATAATGTAATTCAGGACTTTAAATGAGATGGGAAAACGTGCCTTATTCCAAAGAAAATTCCATTCTCAATTAACTGTTCGTTTAGACTAAATAAAAAAGAACAATTTGGTATTATTGTCAACAGTGGCACGGTTTGTGCACTTCTCTTCGAAACCCCTTACATTGCTGCGAGTCAAAAGGAAACTTTAACGCTCACAAGTGTTCTTCAGTCCTCTTAATTACAGCTAATTTCCCAAATGACTCGCATGCCGCCATTATACAGCAATAAGTTAACACTTGCACACAATTAATTATCAAATTTCATTATTAATTTTAATAATTGCTGGGTTGAACGCACCCAAGTGTTTTGTAGCATGAACTATCTCCAGAGATTTGGAAAAACTAATCTAAACGAATTGCCTATAATTATTATAATTATAATATAGTTAATTAATCTCTTACTAGAACAAACACTTGAACAAAATTTTCACCAACATCAACAAAATTTCTTTGTTCTTTTTAGAGGCTTTAAGCCGTAATTTTCGTTTCTCATGCCTTTTAATTCAAATTTAGATACTTGTAACAAAACGCATTGCAAACATAACCCAAATATTGTGTTTATATTGCCCAATCCTATATAAAACCAAATTTTTGTCATTAATAAGGTTAAGTCAGTTCTAAATGTATTTAAGTATGTGTATATTTAATATTAAATTTTAAAAATGTATCACTCTTATAATGTTATAAACACATATTTAAGTATATCTAAGATAACCTACAAATCCATAGAAAAAGGATACAAATCTGCTGTCATTTAAAATTTGCTATGTTGCCAAATTGGTTCAAACTTAAATCAGTGGATATGCGTAAATCAGTTGACATAAATAAATCAACGTTTCTTCATACGGCCCTAAGTCATCATTTTAACCAATCTGTATCTGACAGATTTGCATCTATGCAATGCTACATGTTATTTAAATTAGACTTATATCTGAGCTAATTACCTATTAAACTGTGTTGATCCTAATAATTTGTGTCTGTGCTTAAAAACACTAATGCAGGTAAGTAAAGTATAATAAAACAGCTTAAGCAATAAAACAATTGTTTTACCTTAAAACATACTGGTAACCGTTTTTACAATGGATATAGGTATAATTTATTTTGTTATTCTTATTTTACATTGACTTCATCCTAAGCTCACAACCTTAGCAATTCCATTTACATGGAACCAATCTTTAAATTAAGCAGTTGAAGTTTAACAACGTGAACCATCTTGTAAAGCATGTTCAATCATTGGACACTGAATTTTTGTTTGAACCAAAATGATGCTATTGATGAAGATCAATTACAAGAGGACGTTTAGAGGCTGTTTATGATTAGCCAGCCTTCTTATTATGTTCTTAGTTTTGCTTTAAGTTAAGTTTTACTAATCATATTGTAATCTTTTTCTTTACGCGGTTCTTGTCGTTCATATTTTTTACGGCGTTACCCCAGTAGCACAAATATATTGGCCCAATAATCGTAATAATGTTTGGCCAATATATCTTTCGTCAGATTTTTTCTAGCATGGTCCAATATTGAAACCCTTACATTGGCCCGAAGTTGTTTGACATTATATAACCGATATTGCAAATTCGCAAAAGTTGAGGGAGAAATTGAAAGAAAAAAAAAGATAGCCACCTAGTACTTACTATTTTTATTTTTTTAAGTGATGTGTCACGATCGTGTCGACAAACGTTTGTTTTCAGGAAATGTTTATAGTAGGTACTACGTAGAAGCCGGGGGGTGGGTGACAATGCCCACCCAAATGATAAGTGGGAGAGGGGGGGTTACTTGATATAAAATGTACCCTCCAAATTTTTTGAAAAAATCTACCAATAAGACAAGTCGTGTACCGTCTATGTTATTCTTAATTACGATGAAATGCTAAAATCGTTTGTATCGTGTGCTAAAATGATCAGCTTGAGCTTTATTGACGTAATAACGAATTTTATTGCTAATAAAACAAGAAATCGCATATAACCCTTGTTATTCTTACGGTAATATGCAAGAATGGCCTTTATTATAAACAATAAGGATGGAAGTCGGTTGCGCCACCCCCAACTTATAACCGTTCCTGCGCCACTAGTATAGACATATCATGGAAACAAACGTGTGTCGTTACCTATCACTTTTAAAAATCCGAAAGCATCGTTGACTAGGTATAGTCAAAGGTAATACATTATTATCTTTGGGTATAGTTAATTATATATTGACGTAAAATAATTTGCCAATATAGGACCAACATGGATAAACATTGGCAATGATATATTAAATTATCATTTGATGCCAATATTGGGCTAGCATCGGCCAAATAAATCCAATATTGGCCCCAGATATTGGGCATAGACCCGCCCCATATTTTGTGCTACTGGGGTATATAATAAACCTTTTTTTAAGTATAAACAAATTTTTATAATCTTTAATTTTTGACAAAATAAAAAAATTTCAACACAAAAAGTGCCTGTCCCAAAACGTTTTTTTTTAAATCATGTAAGTCAAATCCACTTTCTACCAGGAATACAATGCAGTACACATTTTAATCATAATATTTTGTGCAATATTTCATAATCAAAAATAAACCTTTAAACCGAAATATCTCAGAATCTTTAATCTAATAATTATTGGATCAAATAAATTTATATTATAATACTTACCTATTATAAAATTAGCACCTAAATCTTTATAGGCTTTAGTTACATTTCTTGTCGCACTATCAATAGTAAGACCTCCATATCCATGAATAATTATTTTTAATTGTTTTACAACGTTATAATCGTATGGCAAGTGGGGGTTGTAGGGATCCAATTTATACAAATACGTCCCATTTTTACGTCGCATAGAATATATAAATTTTACATATTTTGGTTTACATGATTCAAATACTACCAAAGGACATTCCCCAAAAATAAATTCAAATGAATACGCCACGGAAACTAAAATAAAGTATTTAATAACTATGTAATATTTCAAAATTTTTTTTTTATAATTGTTGAATACAATATTAAAACAAGGAATATCAAAAAAAACCGCAATGTTTGTTAGGCACAATACCAATTATACACATTACATATTAAAAAAGATAATAACATAATAATAAGTATTTTCCAAAAACGAATATTTGTATATATATATATATATATATATATATATACAAGAGTTTTTTAAAGTAAAAAGGCAATTTAAAAAAAAATGTTTCCGTTACATTCCACGTTTTATTCTTGTATCCTTAATTATATTACATATTTAATTAAAATTTTGCAATGACTTACTATGCACTAAAATAAACCAAATAAATATTGTCCCACTCATTATGAACTATCATTATCACAAAACTACACATGTTTCCATGGCTACGTCAAGTTTAAAAGTTAATCAATTACTTCGTTGGGTCTTCAATTTGGTTCCGTTTTAATAAAACAAGTTTTTCTGATTGCTTAGTCTTCTGCTTGGCATTTTTTTACTAACTTAATGTACCTACATTACAAAAAGAAAGTGTAAATGTGGGTAAATTTATTTAATATTCTAGGGTCGTCCTGGGTGTTTATATAAGGAAAGCGAGTTCAGTTTGAATAATTATTAAATTTATTTTAAGGTACTACTTTAGTAAATAATACACATACATTACAAATTTATTTTAATACATGCATCTTACTATATTTAATAATAATTCCTAAAAACAGGTTATGAACAAAATCGAATTATTATTTTAATTATAAACCAGGTGTGCCCATTAATATCTGGGCGTTTCTCTGTAAACTGGGCAACTCATTGTCTCAAGCTAATATTGTTTAGAAAAATAACAGATCATAAATATTTCGTAGATAACTTCAAAAGATAATAACCTAATCTACATATGCTCGACGTTCAAAATCCAATAAAATAAACTTTAATGTATCAAAATCGTTTTTATAGTCCTTAAAAACCAGTCCCCTGACGTGTCACCAAAGCAAAATGGTCACTTCAGACTAAATTAATTAAAGACAGTAACTATTGGAATCAACCTAATTGTTTAATTATTCAACCAATATTGTTTGCTTGTTACTGTGACTTATTTATTTTTTATAATTATTATTTTGTAATTCTAAAAAAGTCATCTAAACTTTGTCACCGGATTTTATAAACAGTCCCCGGTATAGATTTTTCAGAAAATGCTCAATGTTTTCCAAAGTAATAGGAATATTCTTGGTTCATCTGCCGTATACTAATAAATAGACCGATATTTATTCCTCGAATAACATTTATTAAATACAACAAAAATATAACAAAAAAACTTGCCTAGACAATTTCTTACTTCAAGTTGCCCAGTTTACAGAGAAACGCCCATCTATATATTAAACATAATATTTAATATTCGAGTTAATACAGGATGTAATTAATTAGGCTAAAAAACTATATTGCATAGTTATTATTTAAACTATAAGTTTTAAATTATTTTAAAACTTACTTAGCAGGGTTTTCTTTTTATGCAAATCGTTATAATTTATTTTCGAAATTAATTAATTGTTAATTGCAAAAAAATTATTTTTATCTGCAGTCAGTCTACTTATAACATTTTAAATTCATTCTTGTGCTTGTTTTACCATATATATCCATAATAAAATATGGGAAACTAACAGTTCATAAATGCTCTACTATGTTATTTGCAAAGAATACTGATAGAAGTTCGATCGTGAGACTAATATTAAAGGCTTTTTATATGTCAAATATCTTAAATATGATTTAAAGACTGTGGAACCTTTATTTAAAAAAATAGTGACTTCCAATGAACAAAAGTGTATTTAAAATATGAGTGTGATTTTCTTAATTTTATTTTGGAACTTACAAGGTATGTTTATATACAAATAAATATACAAATAATTATCTAGCGCAGCTAGACTAGCTGTATATACTATACTATAAGTACTTGTACATGTATTTCTTTTTAATAATATTTTTTAAAAGTAGATTATTTTAAAACTAATTCGAATAATTAAAAATTACCTAGCCAAATTTTCTTCTCGGAGCCAATAAAATTAACCTTACGTTTTTAAATTACTTAAAATCAATAACACTAATTTAAAAATTTATTTTTTTCAATACCATTTACCATCTAATTTAATTTCTGATAAATTATTTTGTAATTTTCATAAGCATTGTAGTATGTGGCATAATTTCAGTTGCAAAATTTAAATATTTTCTTGTATTTAATACTGCGTTTAAATTATTTAAAATAAGTTTATTATTTTCAAAGGCTGAGTGAATTATATTAAAATCTTTATAAACTATTAGTTTCCAAAAATCGTCTCAAATCTTTACCTTTCCTTCTTTATAAAACAATATACCTAATGTGTGATTAAGTTTACTGATCTCGATATTGGTGGATATTATTCCTACTGGTAAAGCCGAGATGACTAGTAAAAGTATTAGTTTTCTGTAACAATATACTTAAAATTAGAATTAAGCGTATGTACAGTTTAATTTTAAGTATTAATATAAAAATGAAAATATATAAAATTAGAATATTATGGTACTTTTCGTTCTATATAGGGTTTTAATCTATCAAAGTTAACTCTGGTTTTATACTGTTCGTTATAAATAAGAGCACTATTAAGGTGATAAACTTCTTTTATCATAAATGGTCCAATAAATTTTGGTTTAAGTTTATCTCCAATTTGGGATTGTTTTAACCATACATTTTGGTTAATTTCGAAATTATAATTATTAGAAACATGTTTGTCAAATCTTTCTTTAGATTTTTCTTTTGTTCTTTCTGTATTAATAACATGTTATTAATGTTATTAGCTGCAGCTTGTTTATATCGAAAATGCATTTTATTATTAATATCTCGAATGTACTTTGATATTAATTTAGATTGATTAAACATATTTTCTCCAGGGCTACTGGACGTATGTCCAAAAACAACTTCAAAAGGGGTAAATCCCCTAAAGAATGTATTCATTAGGAAATTCGGTTTTATGAATTTTTACCACTTTAAGTAGGGTTGAATGAAATCTCTCTAAGCTTCCATTTCTTTGAGGGTGTGCTACAGAACTTTATGTTATTTTAAAATTATAAACTTTTGCCAAAGTATATTATTGCGTCACAATGGATTCTAAGGGGAATACCAAAGTGTTAAAAATAAGTTAAAAGGGTAAGTGCTGTTTTGATGTTTTATTAGCTAAAGGGTATGCTTGAGTATATTTTGTAAGTTTGTCTCTTAAAGTGAGTAAGTAATTTGAAGTAGGTATTTCTAATATGTCGATATTTATTCGCTTAAATGATGTTTTAGGTGTTTCTGTAATAAGTTATTACTAATAACTAAGGGTCTGTCTAAATTTTGTCTATTTGCTTTTTTTATTACAAGTTTCACAAGATTTTACATACTTTTCTACGTCTTTTTGAAGATTGGGCCAATTAAATTTTTCTCGTATTCTTCGAAAAGTTTAATTAATTCCGCGATGTAGATTTTGTTTACCGTTATGATACTTATCGAGTATCATTTTGTCCTCGGGTACTTCGTGAACAAGGTTTTCACAAATTGTAAAAATAATATCTTCGTCTGAATATATGTAAGAAAGAATTTCTGGTAGAAAATATCCTGTTAGGTTTTCTACATAGAAATTAGAAATAGATAAAAATTTATGTTTATTTTCGTATAATAATTTAAAAATATATTTTTCGACGTTATTGGTATCTAAAGGTATTGGTAACACGTAATAAGTTCTATTTTTAGTTTTTGCACTGTTTGCTAAGTAATTCTTTAAAAATTTTAAATTCTTCTTTAATAGTTTCAGGGGCTATTTCGTTTGTAATAGAAACGTTATCGTTATTATCAGTTAATTTGATTTGTGGTATACTTAAATTATACACGGATTTACTTATATAACTTAGTCCACTTTATTCATATATTCAGTAACAGTAAAAAAGAGATATTTATCGATACAGAATTTTGACACCTTTTCTGTTTCAATAATAAATAATATTAATAATAAGTTCATCTTTTTTATAAATAAACCTTCTTGATTCTGGCGAATTGATTTTTCTAATCTCCCGGTTTCTTTAGCCTTGATCCAACGCCAATGGATGGCGCTAGTTGTCGGTGCACAGGACGTTTGGATCAGCGGCCGACAGGTGGCTCTACTAGTCGCCACAGATTCTTGAAAGGGCGTCTGCATTTAAATTAATTTTGCCTTGTTTGTATATTATTTTGTAGTCAAATTTTCCAACGATGTAGGCGACTAGAACCTGGGTCTTTAATATTAAATAAGTAAGTAAGAGGTTTATGATCAGTCACAATAAAAAACATTCTTCCAAATAAATAAGGTCGGAAGTGAGTGACGGACCAGATGACTGCTAGGAGTTCTCTTTGGATTACAGGGTAACGGGTTTCAGCGGGAGAAAGTGTCCTAGAAGCATATGCGATAGGAAGATGGCTTCCAATAGGTCCTTGTAAAAGAACGGAACCTTTTGCGAAAGCAGAAGCATCGGTTGTCAATACAAATTCTTCTTTAAAATTTGGATAGCTAAGAATAGGGGAAGAATTTAAGATATTTGTACATTAGACAAAGGAATTTTTACAAGCATTATCAAAGTCGAAGGGGATACCCACTGGGAAAAATAATATTTCTACAATGTTACTGAACGTTACATTTGTTAGATGTAATGTTACAAAAATCCTTGTGGCAATGTTGCAGGAACATTGCAACAAAGCCTTATGTCCGGCTCAGGAACATTACATTTACACATAAAATGTTGCTTAAATGTATTAATTGCAATGTTACTAAATGTTATTTTTGTTAATGAAAGGTTCCTGCAACATTACAGGAACATTGCAATTAAATTAATATGAATTATTATTATAATAACACCTGTTTGGTCTCATCAGTGTCAGGCAGTCGCTGACGGGAGACACGCATCAAGCTCGGCAATGTTTACTTATAAAGATATAAATGACCAAGACAGCGGCGAGATGCATCGGCACGTCAGTCTGTAAACAACATTGCAAAAATTATCTTAATGCAATATTTCGGATGAAACATAGTCCAAAACTAAAGTTATAATTATAAATGTAATATTATAGTTACAATGTTCCAAAAATCTTGCAAATTAAATGTTTGTATTGTTTATATAAAGTAACATTGCAAAAATCATATTAATGTATTATTTCGGATGAAACATTGCCCAAAACTTATGAATGTAATATTATAATTGCAATGTTCTAAAAATCTTGCAAATTAAATGTTTATATTGTTTATATAAAGTAACATTGTAAAAATCATCTTATTGTAATATTTTGGATGAAACATTGCCCAAAACTTATCAATGTAATATTATAATTGCAATGTTTCAAAAATATTCCCAAACATTCCAAAATAAATGTTTCTATTGTATATTTGAAGTAAAGTTGCAAACATTTTTCATTTGAAACTTGTGTTAATATTTCAATTGAAACATTGAAAAAAAGTTATGTCTGCAATATTATAATTGTAATGTTTAAAAACTTTTATGCAACATTTTATACTAAATGTTACAAATATAACATTGTAAAAACTTTCCATGTGAATCTTTAAATAAGTAATGTTTTAAATTTAAGGTTGTTGGAAATTATTATATGCAATATTTCAAATGTAACATTTCATTTATATTAATGCAAGTAGCACAGGAAATATTTTATTTGTAAAATCGGCGAACATTGCAGCAATATTTTGTAAGGTTTTTTTCCCAGTGGGTATCGTTTTAAGTAGAATTGTCAATGGTTTTATAATTTTAGCGTAGTTTGGGATAAACTGTCGGTAATATCCGGTTAATCCGAGAAACATTAGTATTTCTTTAGGATTGGTAGGTTGAGGGAAGTTTTGTACTGCACTGATTTTGTCGGGATTTGATTTCAATCCTTCGGGAGTTTTGATATGACCCAAATAACAAAAATCCTTGCGGAGAAATTCGCATTTGTCAGGTTGAATTAAAAGTTTAAATTTTCTAAGACGTTCAAAAACTTCACAGGCGTTTAATGTGTTTATCAAGAGTTGTTGAGGAGAAGACAATAATATCATCCATGTAAACCAAACATTGGTCATGTTGGAGTCCAGACATGATATTATCCATTACTCTTTGAAACGTACTGGGTACATTTTTGAGTCCAAACAGCATACGAGGAAATTCGTAGTAACCGTGCTCTACGGAAAATGCGGTCTTAGGAATATCATTTTCTTCTAGTTCGATCTGATGAAAGCCATTAGCTAGATCTAATGAAATAAAATAGCTACATTTACCTAATTGGTCTAAAATGTCAGAGATATTGGGCAAGGGGTACTTATCGGAAATAGTGACCTCATTGAGCTTCCTATAGTCAATGACCAAACGCCACTTAATTTTACCGCTCGCGTCAGGCTTTTTAGGTACTACCCTCACTGGGGATGACTAGGGAGAGATTGAGGGTCTTATTATTTATTTTGATCTAACATTTTATTTATTTGAGTTTTAACTACTTTATTTGAGTTTTAACTACTTATTCTTTATGAATGTAAGGATATCTATAGGATTTTGTAAAAACAGGTCTTGCGTTTTGGGTATTTATTTCGTGTTTTATTTAATTTGTCTCCTTCTAAATAAAAAATATTAAAATTTAAACAAAGGTCTTTATTATGAATTTTTCTTCCGATTTTAAATGTTTAACTCTGAGTTGTTGAAGAATAAGATCGTTTCTTTAAATTTGTTCATTATTATTATTTATATTTTGAAAATTTATAAGATGTTCGTCAATAACAGGGATTTCATTTAATTCAAATGGGTTAATGTAACAGCTAATATCTTTACTGCTAAGATTGCAAATTGTCGTGAGCAAGTACCCTTTTGTATTTTTAACAAGCGCTTCAGGTATTAAAAGGTTTTTATTTATGTACTGACGTAAATTTATTCGTCAATAAGGGAAGTAGTTTTTAATTTTGCTACCATTTCTGTTCTTGCAGGAATTGAAATATTTACAGGATTATCCTTATTTAAATAGGTAAATGTGAATATCTTTAAAAGGTGAAATTAATTTATTGTTAGGTAGATCTAAAATAATGTTATAAAATTTAAGTAGATCGATTCCAAAAATACCATCGTATTCCATTTGTAATGGTTATATTACATTTAGTGTTTGTTTGAAATGAGCCATTTACGCTAGAAACCTTTACTTGACATGGGAAGAATTTAGTTCCCTTAACTATAACATGGGGTTTAAAATGGTTATTGTGGAACCTGTATCGATTACAAATTTAAATTTATTATTGTTTATTCTAGCTTCAACAAGGGGTGAATTAATGTGTTGAATATTAAAAATCTTTTCGATTCGAGGTATCAATAATAGTCTTTTATTTAGTAATAAGTTAGCTTGTACAAAACCTTTATCAACTTGGTTTGATAAGTTGTCATTATATTGAAGATGAATATTTAATATGTTGACTTCACTACTGTTATCATAAACATAGAAAATATCGTAACTGTTATCGGCATAAACGATATTAATATTACTTTTTAATTTTCTATTTCTATAGGGTGATTTTTTTTGTTTGATTTAATAATAAAATTGTAAGAATGACCTTTTATTCGGCATTGTATATAGTATAAACTTTCGCAGATTGCAACTCTTTAAACTCTTTAAAGACTGTAGGTAGGTCAAGTTTAAATAATGTGTTTATATTTTCTGATAAGTTGGGTTGGTTCAACGAACTTACTTTTATTTGAATTACTAATATTCGTAGAAGTTGATGCTTTTTTATTTTGGAATATTTTATTCCATAATGAATTACTTTTTTTTACTTATAGTGCCATTATTTGGATCATTAATTTGATCATGAAAAGAAAGTTCTTTATCCTTGCTATGATGAGTTGAAGAAATAACATTAGATTAAAGTTCTTTGTCCTTACTATGAGGATTAAAAGAATCTTTATTATTTAAAATAAAATAAGCATCATTTATTTGATTATTAGAATAAAGATCCGTACTATGGGAATTAAACGAATCTTTATTATTTAAAATAAAATAAGCATAATTTATTTGATTATTAGTACAATAAGCATCATTAGGATACAAATTATTATTTGTAGGTATTCCATTAGAATATTGTAAATCAATAAATTGGAAATTGGGATATTGTAAATTATTAAAATTAGAAATAGTATTATTATTTACATTTGCAATTCTGTTTGGTTTAAATCTTGGGCATTGGAACTGGTTGGGATCGAAGCGCCCTCCTGTTCCTCGTTTAAATGATTCGTTTGATTAGGGGTAAAAGTTGATCTTTGATTAGATCGGAAATTATTAAAATTATTAGGATTCTAAAGTGTTTCTACATTCGCACTAGTTTCGATTTGCAAAATTATTATTCGAAGTATTGTGAGTTTGTGTTTGATTGCGATTTTGATTTTGACTTTTAAAACAGTTATTTATATTAATAATATGTCCCGGTTTTTTACAGTAATTACAAAATATTTGATTCCTTGAGTTGTTAGAGTTTGAAAAATTATTAGGCGAACTTTTATTTTTATTAAAGGTTTGATTATTTCTGATAAAATTGTTATTGTAATTTCTATTTGGGTAAAATGTTTGATTATAATTTATATTAAGCGTTGGTTTAGAATGTTTAGTATTTTCGAGATATGAGAGTTGTGTCTCTCTTTTTATTCTTAAAGCGGCTTCTAATAAGATTTTAGAATTACTAGCACGAATAGTTCCGATTCCAGACACATATTATCTACCAAGGCACATTGACTAATTTTCTGATCGGCATTAAGATTGGAAGCGTTAATACTAGCGTGTAATTTTGCATTATGAGAATTAATTCTATGCACAAATGAAAGGGGGTTTTCATTAACGTTTTATTTAATTCTATTTAAATCATATACTAAGGACATTAGATCTCTACTATCTCCAAAATGTGAAGTTAAAGGAGTTTTAATTTCTCGCCATTGAGTAATATTTTTGGAATTTATTAAATGGAAAGCTTTACCTCCAAGTTTATTTTTGATGTGAACAAGAACTAGTTCAATTTGTAAACCATCTGATAATTTGAAAGCTGTTTCGCTTGAATTTATGAAAGAATTTAATATAACTTGATCTCCATCATATTCGGTTATAATGTAAAAAAGATCTGTTAACTTTACAAGCATTGTAGTTGATTGAAGTTTATTTTTGATGTGAAAAAGAACTAGTTCAACTTGTAAATCATCTGATAATTTTAAAGCTGTTTCGCTTGAATTTATGAAATAATTTAATAATATTTGATCTCCATCATATTCAGGTATAATGGAAAAAAGATCTTTTTAAATTTACGTTATCAGTTTCAACATCATTCTCGTGATTAGACATTATATTAAATTATTTAAAAAAATTAAAACGACAATAAAATATTCAAGGAATTAAAAATATATATATAGGAAGTAGGTATGGCCGCGCTTAAGACCATCTCCTCCACTTTTTTTCCTACCCGCTATGCGGGTTATTGTTAAAGATTTTTCGAAAAATGTTCGTCGCTTCAATCTTCAAGGTCGTACATTGGAATGTAAGCTTCGAGACCCACCAGCAAAAGCGAAACCTGTGGCATGGGTAAAAAATGCTATTGGTGACGTCCTCAAGAAAGCCACATCAAATCTCCTACCTTCGGACCAAGTAGCTTTTAATTTTGGCTGTAATGACTTCTCTAGAGGGGATGGTTGGATAAGATTCATGGCAGCCTCTAATATTACGCCGGACGACGTTTGGGGTGTAATTTCAAGCATTTATCAGTCCAATTCCACTGGGCTGAATACTGAAACATTCTGTTTGGGAGTTACTAAGAGTGCCAGCGGGAAAAGGAAGAGTGCAGCAAACGCCAAGGAATTATATCGATTAAAAACACGGACAACTTGTGTTTACCTCGTGCTCTTGTCGTAGCCAAAGCCTTTGCCAATAAAGATCCAGATTATGTAAAAGTACGAAGAGACATCGGTAAAATCCAGACATCGCGAGCCCTACAGTTGTTAGAGGAAGCCGGTGTGGAAATACCTGAAGAGGGGTGTGGTATTCCTGAACTGCAGATTTTCCAAGAATATTTTAAAATCAGAGGAACATCACCATACAACACGCAGGCAGGGGGCAAGATGCAATTTTATCAGGGTTAAAGGTTGATGGATTTTGCGAAAATCAAGTTTTCGAGTTTCAAGGATACTATTATCACGGATGGCCCAGATGTTTTAAGCACCAGCGCGACGAGCCTCTATCAGATGATCCTACAGAATCAATGAATTTTCGATACGAATCCACAGTGGCGAAAATCGAGAGACTCAGAGCAGCAGGGTATGATGTCATCGAAAAATGGGAGTGTGATTTCCGACGGGAAATGCGCGAGAACACCGAAATAGGAAAATATGTCGAAAATCATCCGTTATTATCCCATTCGCCTCTAAACCCGCGAGATGCTTTTTACGGGGGTCGTACAAGGAAATTGCAGGACATATTACAAGACCAAAGGGGTTGAAAAAATTAAATACCTGGACGTTTGCTCTCTTTACCCTTGGGTATGTAAATACGGCAAGTACCCCGTTGGTCACCCCGAAGTTTTTGTTGGCGATCAATGCAAATCTATAAATTTGCAGGAAACAGACGGGGTAATAAAATGCACTGTTTTACCTCCTTAAAATTTGTATCAGCCTGTTTTACCAACAAAAATGAACAATAAATTGATGTTTGTTCTCTGTCGGACCTGTGGGCAAAATATGTCCGAGGAGGAATGCCTGCACACCGAAGAAGACCGCGCGCTATCGGGTACCTGGGTAATTGATGAGGTGTTAGAAGCCCTAGAAAATGGGTACAAAGAAGTATGGAAATACAGGGTGGAACAGTACGATATTGATCAAAAAACCGGGGGCTTATTCGTTGAAATGATGAATAAATTCATTAAAATTAAGCAAGAGTCTTAGGGTGCCCCGGAAATAGTGCATCTGATGAGCAAAAGAACAAGTACATCGAAGAATTTTTCAATCGCGAGGGCATTAAACTAGAATTCGACGCAATTTTAAATAATCCTGGGCTTAGATGTCTGGCCAAGCTCATACTAAACAGTTTTTGGGGGAAATTGGGCCAGCAAGAAAATCAGCTAAAGATCAAGATTGTTAATAACCCCGAAGAGTTCTTTAATATGTTTTCTAATCCATCCATATACGTAAATTCTATTTTGCCCGTCAACGAAGACGTTCTGGTGATCAATTACTCATTCAAAGAGGAGTGTTACGAACCCATATCTACGGTAAATGTTTGTCTGGCAGGGTATACCACAGCTCAAGCACGACTTAAACTCTATAGTTATTTGGAAGAGTTGGGTGACAGGGTGTTATATTACGATACCGACTCCATTATCTTTACTCATAAAGATGGAGAGTTTGAACCCTCAACAGGTCATTTCATCGGAGATATGACAGATGAATATGGTCCTAGAAGCTTCATTAAAGAATTTGTTAGTGGTGGCCCAAAAAACTACGCCTACAAAGTTTACTCCACTGCCGAGAAAGAAGAAAAGGTCGTGTGTAAAGTTAAGGGAATCTGCCTAAATTATAACGCGTCACTACTAGTAAACTTTGACTCCATAAAGGATATGGTTTTAACTGATTCCGAAACAATTCAAACAATATCAAAAACTATTAGACAAACAAAAGAGCATGAGGTGGTTACTAGAGAGGAAACTATATCGGCCAAAAGAAATTTTTTTGCCGATCATTCGTCGCACCCATACGGGTTTAAACGTTCGAGGGATGGTCTTTAAATACAATATTAGTAGTTTTATAGGGTTTTTGTATTTATTATAGATATTTTATAAGTATTATATATAATTTATATACCAAACAATGAAAAATCCTATTAAATAAATATTTATTTTTTATTATTATATTTCCCTAAAGAAAATAGTGATGACATTATTAGAGGATATTGCGTAATATTATACAATAGTACTCTATTATTGTCTATCTAAAACACCCCCAAACTTTTACAACATTTATACTCTAGGTAATCAGACAAATTATAAGGTTCTATATTAATTAGGTGGTCAAAAACATGTTTTTATAATTAGACATTTTGGTGATCATTTGAATATTCCTAGGTAAATTATTAAAAATGACAATACAATAATAATAATAACAGCCTTTTTGGCGTTGAATAGGATATCTTAATACTTTATTAGATAAGAGAGAAATATATACAATATTAGATACGAAAGTAAACTGAAAAAAATTGAAAATTATGTATTTAAATACCTATTATTAAATTTTAATACTCGTACATATTTTGAATAATTACTATCCAATTTTATTTATTAGATAAGAGAGTAAGATTTACAATATTTTATCTCGCTCCAATAATTTCAATAATAGTAATAATAATTGCAGTTGGGGTAGATTTTAAAAAAGAATAATGAGTAGTATGAGTATGAGTATGAGTATGGGAACGTATGGCAGGCCCCAGATATATTGTCATCCACTGATCTCCCGGGGTTATTTTACCCCCTTTTCGTTCTCCTGCGTATCCCGCCAAATCACAGCATTACCTGTGTTTGTTGGATCCGAAGTTTTTACGCCGGCTGGTAGATCCACCCTAGGAGTTCGTGGATGACAGTGTCAAAGGTTAAGGCCGCTCCCGGGATATTTGTCAGCCGGGTCGGGCCATACGTCCAGTTTAGGAAGGGTTTTTGGAGGACATTGAACTGACCCAAAACTAAGTACAATCCGGAATCCTCCTGAACCTAGGCCTTAGTAGTAACCCCATTCAATTGGTATTCGTGAATGGGGGGTGGGTATGTTAGTTATTTGCTTACTCCTATCTTTGTTGGTTTACTTCCGGTTCGTCAGTTTCTGTGTCCGTCTCCGGGTCGGCATGTGCCCAGTATTTTAGTTGTGCCACCCTGACACGTTTGGTGATTGTTTTTCCTTCTAGGAGGACTCTGGACGATATCTTGTCAGTACGCCCCTGTTCGTGATGTATTTCGATTGAGACGTTAAATATGTCCGATGCTGCTATTATTGTTTCCAAACTCAGCCAGAAGCCGTTTTGTGCGTGTTCCTTTAGGCAGGACCGGATTTACAAATTTTCCGCCCATGGACCCAACGCATCATTACCCCGAATAGCGAATGACTCAGCGAATAAGCTAGAGTCGCGCCCCACTCGCCTCGTGTACATCGACTGCCGCCCTTCTACGCAGTGACGCACTACGCAGAATAATGTGTAGTCTGATATGAAATTATCTAATGTATTAAAAAACATCTCTTCCAACTTTTTATAATTAGTGTATAAATCTGAGTGAAAACAAAAATTCTGCATAAAACGCTCTTGGTTTTTTTTAGCAAAATTTTAACTGGCCTTCAAAATTTGCCGCCCCTAAAAATTTGCCGCCCTGGGCCCATGTGGCCCATGCCTTAATCCGGCCCTGCCTTTAGGTACGCCTCTGTTTTACGTTCCCAGTCGTTAATACGCGTAATTCCGTCGGATGGAATTTTAATTATTCCCACCGAATGGTCAATCGTGTTTACTATTTCCATGTTTGTTATGGTTTGTGTTTATTTATTATTTATGGTTTGGCGTTTATTTATGGTATTAGTCGAGTGTTTATTTGGGGGATGGAGTCTTATCTGCCTTTTCTGTTTTGTTAATGTAATGATTTGTGTGTTGTCTGTCTCATTAGGAATGTTTATTTTCTGGTGCCAGCTGGGGAACTTAAAATTCCTTTTCGGAATATGATACGTTTTACTTTAGATTTTTTTGGAATAAAATGGTTTTGTTAATAAGACATGCAGTTAGAAAAATTACTTAGCTTGGATATTAGGCTATAATCCTGATGCTAGGTCTTTCACGGTCTGTCTGATGTTTCTGGACCTCCCTGCAGGTTATTGATAGGCTTTGGTTGTGACTATCCCTGCTGACCAGGTGGACCGGTTGGCCTTAATTACTTATACAATTGCACTCTTTTACGGCTTTAACAGGGGATCTCTCGCACTTCACACTTGTTTCACTTTTTTGCACTTGTTGCACTCTTTTTGCACTTGTTGCCCTTATCACACTTTCCGCACTTGAATGTTTATTTATTTATTTATTTATTTATTTATTTATTACCGATATTTCCGAATACTTAGGTTCGTTTTTGGAACTTTATTAGGTTTCTCTCGTATACGCTGCTAGGAGAGGAATCACTTGACGCGTCTATTCACATCGAGTGTCAAGACGCAACTGGTAGATTTTAAAAAAGAATAATAATAACTAAAATAAAAAGAATCAAAAGTTTTACTTACCCAATACACGCATTCACAATTTTATGGGGCGTTAGAATCCGTTTTTAAAATTCTAGAAAAACCGCAATTATTGATATCTATGTGTTATACATTGCAACATGTTTCGTTGAAATTTTTTTAATTTATCGATTTAAATTATGTTAATAATAAACTTAATTTAAAATTCCGAACTAACCATATTTTTATAATCAACCCATCAACAAATTTTAATTAATAATTTATATATCAATTTATAATTTATAAATCAATATGGTTATGCCAAATAATTTAGGCTGAACTAATATATTTCAGCATTGCACACTACTTATCAGTTTTTAGTAAAATAGTTTTACAGTAATTTTAGGCTCGTTTTACAATAATTGCTTGCAAATCAGAATGTAAATTATCACACTTTAAGTTTTAAGCAGTTGCTCCTTTAGTGCTTGTCGTAACGTTTTTGTAAATACAGGCAGTCAATTACTTATAATCTAATATAATAAAGTTAGTTTTTGTCCCAGATTTTTATTGGTACATTGGAATGTTGTGGAATATTTTCCGGTGTTTCCGAAATACTGTTTCGTGCTTTTCTTTGGACAAAAGATTGTTTTATTGTTTGATTTAGTATGAAAAACAGACAAATAATACGACTTTTGATGCACTTTTTTTCAGTTTGCGGTAAGTATTAAAAATACAAACAAAACATAGATCAATTTATATTTTACTTGAGTAAAATGTATATAAGGTTATGTTCGTATTATTCAAAATATATAAAATATAAAGTATATAAAACACTTTCATTCATAATTCTATTCTACTATCTACGTCTTTATAGTTTTGCATACGAATTTATAATTTCCCAGACTTGGGTAAAATGTATATACCTACCTAAGGTTTTGTTGTATTATTCAAAATATACAGGGTGACAAAAGCTCAGGGGAAATTCCTCTAATCAAAATTAAATTTATTATAAATTGTTTTTTTATATACTTATATGAATTTAAAAATAAAAGTTTACTTATACAAAGAATTCGTTGCGGAATATCCGGCGGGCTATCGGTAAAATTTGTATTGTATTGTATCGCTATTTTTATAAATGGTTTTCTTAAAAGGTTATGATTTTAAAATGTTCCATTTTTTTGTAAAATATTAAGCAGCATTTCATCATTAGAATCTGCTAATATTTGGGCTCGAAATTTTTTATTTAAATGATTTTTAGATAATTCTT